AAGTACAAGAAAAATAATAATATTCTAGTTATCCTATCAAATGAACCAATCATGCCACAACATGTCAACATCCTAAAATAGCACTATCACCTTGATTTACTAAGAATTCCAAGGGTTTGTTGAATCTAATAATTAAGAGTTCTTTCTTTGAATATTGACCTAAGCAAATACGTAACAAAATGTTGACAATAGAACTGAGCTTGAGCAGTTATAATTCTATATGAATTATTGTTTTTGTCTTTCAGTTGGTACGATCAAAATATAATTGTTGGATATTGGGTTTAGGTCGCGGGTCGCCCATATGGAGTGACCCGACCTGTTTTCTAAAGGGGATATGATAAAGGGAAGTTACCTAGGGAAGGTTTAACTCCTAAAGTAAAACTACCGCACGTTGAGAAGTAAGGGGGAGCGTGGGGATCAACGTGGGTCAGTTTCACGGTAGTTTTTTTTTTCCTCTGACAACTTCCCTTCTCTATATAATCAACGCTCCCCTTCTTCAGAAAAAAATACTCTGAGAAATCCTCCCTACAAAGATAGAAACACACTAAAAGCAAGAAGAAGGTACTTAGTTCGTGAACAAGAATTTCTTTTCCAAGAGAGATGAAATCGGATTCGGGCAAATTGATTGAAACAGATTCTGCAAAATTCGATGTCCCTGTTACTGGATTTTATTCTACAATAATGATAGTGAAAATATATTTACTTCAAAGAAGAGTTATTAATTGAAGAAAAATATGTATAGAAAAAGATGATGTAAGGCTAACATATATTCCTAGGCGTGACTTAATAGTTTAACCTTTTCTTCGTTTTGGTTGACACTTGGCATAAACCTATGGCTCTGACATGTGACTTTTTTCTGCTCTCTCTTATAGTCCCACAAAAATAAAATAGCATTAGCGCAATGATAAGAGTTGTTATCGTATGATGAAGAAATCACGAGTTTAAATTGTGAAAATAAATTTTTACGAATAAAGAATGTGAGATTGTAAAATAAACTTAATATGATTCAATCCGTCCATAGATTATGTGTATATACAGTACGATGGAAGAAATCACGGGTTTAAATTGTGAAAATAAATTTTTACGAGTAAAGAAATATAAGATTATGTTTAATAAACTTAATGTGATCCAGTTCTTCCATAGATCATGCGTATACACAGTGAGATTGTGCATCGAGCTGCTCATTTCATAGTCTTAGATAGTGGATATGCACAACAATAAGAGATGTTGTCGTTTTAAGTTTTGAAGTGATTCTCATTCTCACCGGAGCCTTTTTAATCCGAAAGAAAAGGGGGCAAGAATCTCATGATAGTGCGAAAGGGGAGCATAATCGTATCTCGGAGTGATTCTTCGGATCGATCACAAATTCTCGGCCCCGTAATTTCTGCAAGATAAGTCTACGTAATATAAACATGACTGTGTGTCCATCCCTTTCCTAAATCATCCGCTTAGCAGAAATTTTGTGCACCGGATTGTTATTTTCATAGTCTTACATTAAAAAGGATTTTTTCTTTTTTCTTTTCTTTTTTCTTTCTCTCTTTAGGCAATAAACACACTCTTTAGGTCCACTTTCTGATCGATCAGTTCAAAGACTAATCTTTACGCGGTTTAAAGATTGGTCTCTTAAGACTTTTGATTTTTTTTTAAGAAATCATTTTAAAGGACCCCAAAAAGAGTGGAAAATATACCATTTGAGTGTATTTGTATGAATACCAATTTGCCAACACATCACCATAAATAAGAGGAAACAAAATCTTAGAACCCACCCAAAAAAAAAAATTATATATATATATATATATATATATAGTGTAGGCCAAGATCTAAAATTATATTTTCTTTATCATCTTTCTAATTTTATTTCTTGCAGCAGCATTATAATGATGATATGAGGCGCTGTTGTTTTCTTCTTATTGATGGATGTGGGGTGGTGGGGTATAGTGAAGGAGTAGTAGAATTTTGAGTTTAACTTCCGTACACTGATAGAATATAGATTTTTATACCCCAGAAAAAGGTTACTTATAATTATGACGATTTACTAATTGTCTGTAATAAATTTAATTTGTAACAAAAAAGATTAGTACGTAAGTTATTATAACATTTAAAATATATTGATAATATAAAAATTCTTTATAGTTTACATTACCAGTATATATAAGTTAAATTTATATTCTTTTTAATATTTTATGTGAAGCCTTATCCTATGATACCACACTACATGTTTCTACATTGTTCTTCTTCATTTGGTGCCAAAAGTGTACTAACCATTTTAATATTTGGGAATTTTTATAAGTGAAATGGTGATTGGACTTTGGGACACTTTGTTATGGAAGGGTACTACTCATTCATGATCTTTCCTTTTTGTGTTATATATAAATGGATAATTGATTGGAAATAAGACACATATCCCTTCCCATTTTCATTATTAGTCTTTATTATCATCAATTTTGATTGGATAAATGGTTTATTGTCTCAATCAATTTTTAACACATATGCTTTTGGGGGTTTGTTGCACTTTATTTTGAAGTTTGGTAGGATTACAACCTTGGATTTGTTATGATGTAGACTTAAGTGGGCATATCCCATTGTATTACCTTCTTTGGGAAAATGACAATGTATAACCGCTCTCAAAATAATAGCTGAAAAATATATAAATTTTGTATATTTTCTGCATATATATTCGTTATGCATATTATATACAAAATTATACAAATTTTATATACTTTTTCGACTACAGAATATAATTATAGTTTCTGTCGCGGGCTAAAAGTGTTAATACCCCACCTTCTTTCACATATTTAATTTTTTAATTGGCCATATAAAGAAGATGCATCTATTCATTTATATAATGAAGAAATTTCTTTTTCTTTTTTGTATAAATTGAGAAGAGGTTAAAAGAACAAGAGGGTAACTTAAGAGTAAGAACTGTTGGGGTGAAGCTAGTGTTATGTTTACGAATTTGGCCAAACCTAGTAACTAGTTCAAATTTTATGTCTATGTTAAAACATTTATTAAATATATGTAAAAAATTATTACTCAATATCTTAAAAGAACTGAAATTCCGAACTCATAAAAATTAAAGTTTGGCTCCGCCTTCTAGTGACAAATCCAAAAATGCTTAGCGGATTGCCCCCCCCCCCCCCGTCTCTCTCTCTCTCTCTCTCTCTCTCTCTCTATATATATATATATATATATATATATGCGTCAAAAGCAAGTGTAAATAGAGCTAAATATACAATTTAAAACTCACAACGTCTAAATTCTGAATCCGATAGTGTAGAGCAAAAACTATCAATATCAGTGGAGGAGTAGATGTAAGAAATTGACACTTTTTCCATTATCAACTCAATTAGTTCCAACAACTAAAAAGGGAGTTATTTTGTTAGTTACTTTAATGTGGAGCACCTAGGATTTATCTCATTGAATTCCACTTTGAAAAAAAACATAGTCTTTCACATCATCTTTTGAACCAAAGAATCAAACAAGTTGATTCGAGAAAGTTCTCATAATATGATTTGTCCCTAGCTTTTCTATACTATAAACAACTCGGAAAAACTTTTTGTTTTCTTTGCCAATTAAAGGAAGAATAAAGGCCGATGAGGGAGAATATTATAATAAATAAAGCAACTATGAAAAAATTAGGTTGTGTATTCGGTCGAATCAGTAGCTTTGGTCTACGCTTTGTGTTTGTCTTAAGGAATTCATTTAATATATATAAATTATCTATTTTAAACACAAAAACTTAAAAGAACTAGAATCCCGAATTTATAAGCTTCAAATCCCGGTTTCGCTCCTGGACCCACCATTACTTTAAAAAAAAGAAAAACTCACATAGACACACGTCATGGACAATCTGTGAGCATTAAAAAATTAAATAGGTAGTTATCATTGGACGAGGATTTGTGCATCCCATAGTCCATTTTGTTGCTACTGTTAAAAGTAAAAATTAAAAATAAAAGGAATATTAAGCAACAAAACGTAAAGCAAACGTCATGCTTTCGTTTGCTTGCATGATATTGGCTCAGCCGCACAGCAACCCAATTTTGGAGTTAAAATAGCACGGGTTAGCCGCTAGCCAGTTTTCGAACTGGTCATTAAAAAATAGCTAGCGTTTGTCAAGTCATTGAAAAATAATCACTACTTTGCTGCAACAGAGATCGCTCCAGCATAATATACTGGAGTTCGGTGCACCTGTGTATGAACTTCCAGCATATTATGCTGGACCGGTATACTTTGCTGCCTCCAGTATATTATACTGGAATTTCAGTATATTATGCTAAAGTATTTTCCGGATTTTGAACAGTGTTTTAGTTCAGATTTATCTTTACATAAAAAGTGGCTAAATTTTGATAACTTTTGAAATTGTGGCTATTTTTGAATGACCACTTGTAAATCTAGCTATTTTTTAATTTCTCCCAATTTTGGATATAAAAGGCCCAACGGATTGATCGAAGATTAGGCCCAACACAGACTTTGGGCTAAAGCAGAAGCTGTGTCCAAGAACTGAAAATGTCTGTCAATGCAGCTCCATAAACGTTTAGGAAATGGATAACATTTCTTTTACATAGAATGATTTTACACAAAAGTAGTACGAGTTATATAAAATAAGAATTTTTTGAGTAAAGCAAAATTTTCTTGAATTTATTACTGATGCTGAGTTAAATATAAAGCTGGTCAAACAAGCTTACCACTTGCAGCTTGATCACATTATCGGTTCATAAAGGAAGATGGTTGCGATAGGCTAAGAACTAGCGTAAAACTAGTTAAGTCATGAAGAATCCTTATAGTAATAGTTAATAAGAAAAGTATGCTCAGTGAGGATTCATATTAGCTGACGACAACTTGTTTTAGACTAAGGCATAGTCATCGTTGTTTTTCAGAATAATTTAATGAAGAATCATATTTTACACACTATAAAACAAGGTTTGATATATGCAGAAGCTACAAATTTCTGGGAAAACAAGGTTTGATATATGCAGAAGCTACAAGTTTCTGGGAAAATATATCAATGTAAAGCACTTCATTTCTGCTTATATTATACGTATTTAACAGATGAAGGTAATTTAAACATTAACTAAGGTTAGACAGCCTGCCTAAAATATAAAGCCAAAAATCTGTACAAAAATGCATTTTAGGCTAGTTTAACAGAAAACACAAAAGGATGGTATTTACTAAGTTTTAGATTAGTGATGCTAGGTTTTAATCTAGTTCTAACTTGATTTGAGGGCAGTTCAGAGCAACACTGAAATCCACAGTTTTTCCTACTAGTGAACCGCCGTTGTATCCATCTATAAGCAACTGCCCAATTTTCGACCTCCACTCCGAGATATCTTTCTCTGTCTTTCTGTCATGGAAAACTCGATCACAGTAGTTGAGCATCGTCCCCAGACCGGTGTTAGGGACCCAACCATATGCCATTAATACTCTTGCTTCTCCTTCACTCAGCTCTTCTCCAACCTGTGTGCAGACACAATGGAAGCATAAGACTGTTCTATATGATAAGTTCAAATATACAATATGAATAACATCTGATCATTTCGAATAGAAAAACTAGTAAATGTGAAAGCCACAGCCACATTTAAGTGAAACGGTTTTCAACAAGATGCAAGAGTAAATATCGATGGCAGAGTACAGGTCAGTAAGGTACATGAATAATTTTGAGAGCCCATTTGAGAACACTTTGACATGCTAAGTCGCTTGCTTTGTGCATTTGTCATAGACTATAACATTCGTATAAATGTATATAAAGACGTCCAAAATGATCAACCCTTATCTCTATGATGGGCAAGCAGTGAGACTTGAATTCAAGACTTTTGTATAATTTAATACTCATATTTAAACGCCTCGTGTAAAAGCTTAAACTGTTAGAGATAGACCACTTGAAAAATGTAATTTTTTTCTCTTTTGTTTTGATGAAGAAAAGATGAGACACAAGATTATTTATTTTAGTTCTGTAACAAATTTTTAATGGATAACTAACATTAGGTGGTTATAGCTAAAACATACTGACTATTTTATCCAGTAACCAAATGCCACTCATGATTGCTAAAATGATTTAGCAAAAGACTGAGATTAAATCAAGTAACATAATCAAGCCAGACAAGAAGAAAATTTTTGTAGACGAGGAAGTTCAACCATCATCTATTACCCCCACCCCTCTTCACCTAATTACCCCAACCAGAAGGGGAGAAAAATGAAGTGAAGCAAAACAGGATTTCATATGAAAACTCGTCCACAAGAGAAAGCATCAGGGAGCACTACCTGGTGAAGGTAAGTAAAAGTAAACTATTTCTCACTTCAATAAATACCAAAGAAAGTTGATTACTAGGTCACAAATGCAAGCAATTTGATGAAATTCTGCATCAGGAACATACAAATAGAAGCATCATAAGAAAAAACTAATATAGCAGCATCCAAGGTAAATACCGCCAGTGTTCTATTCTCGATTAGGTTGACCCTGCTGCAGCTAGTAAGCTTCATAGCAGTTACCAATCGCCTGATTTGCCAATCAATAGGGGTGGAATCCACCAGTTCAAAGAAGTACGTTGCATAGCCATATTCAGGACGCTCAAGCACAATCCTGCAAATATGAAAATATAAAAGTTTCTTTATCGGTCCTGACACATTGCGAAGACTCTAGAACCAAAACCTATGCAGCAAACAACAGACCTGTTATGCCTTTCAAAGACAAATATAAATGATTGGAGATCTCGGCACCAACCCCATTCAACAGGCCACTTTCGGAAATGTAGATACCGTGCCTAAAGTGTAATTTGAAAAAGAAAAAAGGGCAATACATATCAGATAATAGTGATATAATGACGATTTTAATATGATAACTAGACCCTTGCATCAATTAATATCCATACCTGCTCAACAAGTGAAAATAGACAAGCCAAACAATAGCTAGCTTTTTCACCTTTTGTGCACTGGAGTGGAGCTAGCTTTAACAATGACTGTCGCTGGGAGAAAAGCTGATCAACAAAGTTAACACAACATATGACATCAGATGAAGGGATCTGTGCCCTGCCTAATAAGATATCACCAGAAAAAAATAAAGCAAAATAAATAAAAAGAAAGAACCAGCAATAGACCATAAGTGTGGATCTAAGATAGCCTGGTGCAAAGCTCTTCCACAATAGCCTATCTATCTATATAGAATAGGAGAAGCCATTCAAATTGGGTGGGAGTAGTTTCAAGTTGGAGTTTTAAAATTATTTTAAAATAAAAGGCAAAAAAATAGCTATAAAAAATGAAAAAAGAGAAGAACTACCCATTCAAATCGAAAAGTAGTTTCAAGTTGGAGTTTTAAAATAATTTTAAAATAAAAAACGAAAATAAATAAATTAAAAACTTTCAGAGAAAAATATTAAATAAAGTAATATGCTAATAAATATTTCTATTAAATATGTAATAATATTAAATATTATATGATATAATAAAGAAAAATACATAACAAAAAATTTATTCAATGTGCTCCCTGTATAAGTCCCGACAGTTTAACAGAGATTTTATTCATTAAAATTTAGATAATATTATTAAGAACAACAGAATAAAATTTAAAACAAAAAAATATTTCATCAGTAATAAATTATATATCCTCTCATATATTACAAAAAGAAAGCGAATACTAAACAATGGCTAATATAATAAAGCAAAATATAGAAAAAAGTTATTGGTTATTATTTTTGAATTTAAATATATATAAAAAATGAACATAATAAAATAATTTAAAAACTAACACACACATATATATATATATATTGGTTACTTTATTTGAATTAATAAATATAGATATCTTATAATTAAATATAATTAGAAAACGAAAAATAAATATATAAAATAATAACTACCCATTCAAATTGTGTGGGAGTAGTTTCAAGTTGGAGTTTATAAATTATCTTAAAATAAAAAAGCAAAAAAAAGTTAGTTATAAAAGACGAAAGAAAGAGTAGAAAAACTACCCATTCAAATCGTGATGTAGTTTCAAGTTGGAGTTTTAAAAAATGAAATTAAAAAAAAATAAATTACCAATTCAAATTGGGGATTAGTTTCAAGTTGGAGTTTTAAAATTATTTTAAAATAAATCAAACGAAAATAAAGACATAAAAAAACTTTCAGAGAAAAATATTTAATAAAGTAATATGCTAATAAAACTTTCTATTAGCAATGTAATAATATTAAATATTAGATGATATAATAAAGAAAAATAAATAACAAAAAAGTTATTCAATGCGCTCCCTGTATAAGTCCCGTTATTTTAACAGAGATTGTTCGTTAAAATTTAGATAATATTATCAAGAACAAAATAATAAAAGTTAAAATAAAAAAATATTTCAACAGCAATAAATTATAAATCTTCTCATATATGACAAAAAGAAAGCGAACAATAAATATTGGTTAATATAATTAAAAAATATAGAACAAAAAAGTTATTCACTAATTATATAAGTACCTTTGATTTAATAGAGATTTCATTATTAGGTATATCGTATCGACAAGTAAGATGACAATTGAATTTTATTAAAGCAATACAATCTAATAGGATCAAACAAGCCCGATCATAATTTAATTTAATTAATATTTTTTAATACTAACCGCGCATCGCGCGGGTACGACTACTAGTTGTATTTCAGCTTTCTCAACATTCAGAATACTTAAAGTAACCCAATATTTCAAGCTCCTCATCAGGCCTTGATGACCACTTCGACAAATCTGGTTTCTGACATGAAACGCTTCAGTTCGGAGAAAACAACTATGAATGGTTTAAACCTTAAAATTGCTGCTTCACAAGATATCAAAAGGCATCTGGTTCTATCTACATGTCTATCGTTTAAGTCTATCTAAATACCCTCCTACTTCCATGCCCGGACTTAACTTACTCTACGACCAGGGTTGTTATCATCTATACAACCAGAAACTGCCCCACTTCACCTAACAAGCTGCCTACTACTTTTCTTCCAAGCCTAGTATCATTATAGCAGATTTTTACACTCACCAATGCTCGCCAAAGAGATTGTCGAGATTCTCAAAATCCAATAGTAGCCTAAAACTTCAGTTTCTTAAATCATTGAATAACTCCATGATTTCCACATTCCCATCGCAATAACTTGTAGATTAATAATCAATTGCCAAATCATAAGCAATCATGCCAAGGGATCAGGATACTTTCAGATAGCTAAAATATGTGAGAAAGGATAGATGAAATGACAAGCATAAAAGAAAATGATAGCTATGTAACTCAAAAGCCACCCCTAATTCATGAACAAACAGTCAGTAACATTTTCCAGATCATTGAGTGACTAATACCTATTGCATGCTTCAACAGGTAAGAGGTAACTCAGACACAAACATAGGCAGCTTTCCTCCTAAATTAGTGACGAGAAAGGCCATTTGCACCTATATGGTCATACCTTTGATATAACAGCTTCAAGCTCTGAGAAGCTGTCTTCAGAGGTCAAATCATCAAGAGGCTCGTTACTCTGATTTTCTCCGTACAGCTTAATCTCATCAACAGATATGCCTTTTTCTAGTAATACCTGCAAAGACCAATAAAGGCTATGAACCACCTGATTTTGAGCATGGCAATTTGATGGGAAAATACCTGCAAGAGTCCAGGAGCATCTTCCTCCATTGCTACTTCAACTGACTCTCTGCAGTTTGTTGGAGAAAGCAAAGGATAAATTGTGTATAGTAAATGTAAACACATACACATACATGTGAGCATTTGTCTGTTGAAGTTTTGAGTAATGAAGTATAATTGAAAAAAGATAAAGAAAAGGGAGGATTGGGACATCCATAGTAAATGTAGACAAATACAAATCAATATATACACATATGAGTATATACAGATGCCAGAAAAAGGAATTTTACGTGGCTGTTTTCCTTCGTTTCCGTGGCCGACTAACCCTCAGTGGTTTAGCTGGCACTGATGAGATGGGCGTGCAATCAGAGACGGAAGAAACTATTTTCCTTGAGCAGTCTGCAATTCTACCTATCTCAAATGAAGGAACCGCTCTCGAAGAGAATAACTTCATTCGCTCTCGTAACAGCATATGATCCAGTTCATCTCCAGAAGAATCATAGGAAATTCCGATTTCAGTTTTCACCAGAGTGGTGCTACTATGGGGCATAGTACCCATTCCATTCTTTGCAGTGGTTTCATCCATACTGTTATCCACAGGTTCAACCTTGACATGTACAAGGTCCGATATAGGAGAACTAACTTTGCTCTTCCTATTAAAAGAAGAAAGGTCTAGTGCACGACTTGAATCTTCTTGTTTGGAAAGTGTTCTCCTTCCATTTCCTAGAAGTTCCATTGAATTTCCAGAGTCAGACAACTGATCTCTCTGACAGTGATGCCCCATCTTAGAAACTTGAGGATCTGTACTAGACAAACCTCCAACTGCCGCATTTGAATGATTAGAAATCCTATGAAATTCATGAGAACCATTACCGATCACTTTAATAGGACGAAGCTGTCCTTTTACTATCCCAGCACTTCGAGGAGTTGTGTCATTCATGAGTACACTGGAAAAGTTGGAAGGTTTACCCTGCACAATATACAGAAATAGGCAACTTCTACAGTTAACTTATTAAACGAAAATAACAAGATTCAAATAGGCAGTAACATAACTGACATTTTCCCCTTCTCCTTCCTCCCCAGAGAAAGTTATCCAACAGAAAAGCAGTTAGGTTGGGTAAGAGATTTGTCAATAAGTATTTCCGAAAGGATCAAAGACACAATTCCTGTAGCTTCTTCCCTCCTCGTCGGATAGCCAGGAGAGATGAAGAGAAAGAGAAAACTATTTAGGTGATAATGTAAGTTTTTGATGAAGAAGGTGACAATGAACATTATTTTAAGGGATGCAGCATTTTAATCAAAAAATTAATAATAATAACATAGAAGAACCATATTCCAGACTGACACATGGATGTAAAATGTTCTGCAACAGACAAAGGATTCGACCTGCTGGACTTGAACCAGCAACCAAGAGGGATGCTCCCCTTTCTCTTCCCTGAGCTAAGGTCGATCACATACCAACTTTTATAGCTAAGTATCAAAGCGAAATGCCCAGTGGTAAGATGTAAAAACACGCTTACAAGAGGGGAAAAAAGAAAATACGGAATAATATTATTTACTTTGTTGCTTATAATTCTTGCCAAAAATAATTCAGGGCAAAAATAAGCAGCCCCAGAAGCTAGGAAAAGAATTTCTCCAAGTATCTAACATTGTAGCACAGAGTTTGCAAAACCCACCTCAATGGCTGCAGAGCACAAATAATTAGCCACACGAATTGTCAAGGCAACTAACACAATTGTGAAGCACAAATACTTTTCTTTAGCAAAAAAAAAATTGCATTTTCATCTTGAAAATACATTCTGGTCGAAGAATAATTAGAGAGAACATTAAGGGTAAAGGAATTGCATTATAAAGCAATCATGTGAATGTAGAATAGCTATGCAGTATAAAGCAAGCCTTACAAGGATGGCATAACGCTAGCATAATTGCCAAAATCAAGTCCTAAGTTTGCGATTAATACATTTCAAATAGGTAGAAAAAGAAGGATGGAAGATTGACATACCGATTTGATATCAGATGACCACAAACTTAAGGGCAAGTTTTTCTTCCAACCATATAGAACAAAAAGAGGATCAGACTTTAAAGGACGGATAAAGAATGTAATCACTTGACAGTGCCGATACTCAATCTAATCATATGATTTGCTTATTTTCTATCTTCATGAAAGCATTAACAAGTAACCAAAATAAGCAATAACCTATCACTGCAGATGCTTAACATCCAACAGATTAACACCAAGATGGACAGGAAAAGTATTACGTTCTCATCCTTCAAACTCTTTGGCCCCACTATTATTTTCTCATGATCCGTCATTAAATATAAATCGACTTGGTTTCAGACTGGGTACAACCCACGGCCTTTTCTTATTCCAATGACCACATCGACAACCCTTCAAGCAAAGGGATCTTAGCTAAGAGAGATACAATGGATATAACTTAATAATATTTCGCATTTCCATGAAGTATCTTCCTTTCATTCCACAAGTTGTACAACTATTGCATCAAATAAAATGTCATACAACCTAAATCATGAAGAGATAGTTATAGGCAATTACCTCTAAAATTGACGTCTTCAAGCATTGCTCTTTCCTATAATTGAAGCAAGAAGCATGAGATCCAATGCTTTCTAAAACATTAGACTTCAAAAATGTATAAGCTGACAAAGTAGTTAATAGAAATTTTAGAATTTTATTATTTGGAAAAAGTTTGACACCTGCATTGACATGGATTATCAAGTTTTAAGAACAGAGGCACCTCATCTAAAAAAGAAAAAATTATGCAGGTAAAATTTGCACCTTGAATGCAGAATTCTCTGCCTTTCTTTCAGCACAACAAAATCAAGATCATCCAAAAAGTCATCAGGTTTCTTGCTATTGATTTCTTTCCCATCAGCACTAGATGAATCGTTGACAAGGTTACTGAATGAGTTCACCGTGCTGTTCTTGGCACACTCAACCTTCACATTGATGGGAAACTTTGGTGACAATGACAGTTGAAGTGGAGAACTCTCAACAGTATCAACTTTTTCTGCAGAAAGATTCATATAATTCTGAAGTGTTTTCATCTTTGCTCCAGTTTAATTTTACTCTATAAAAATCAAACTTGAACATTTTAGTATCTTATTAGAGTACTGAACTCTTTGACAATATGTCCTAAAAATTGAGGCCTTATGACACAATTAAAAAGCACATTAAACAAAATCTGAATTTTAAACTTCAATCCAGCACCCCCTAGCATGAGAAACTTTACCAGTAATATTTTGTTGCAGTGCCAAACTCTCTAGTTTCTCTTGTTGAACCGAATAAGCCGAATGGAGATTCTGCATAAGATTTTTCACTTTAGTCAAAATGCATACAAACGGAATACAAGGTAAAATAAACCCCAAATTTAAGCACATGTGGTTATAATGCAAGAAGACCTCAGTTTTGCCTGCTTTTCCCGCTAGAGAAGAAAACAAAAAGTATGTTTGGATATCCAGTAAGTTATTAACAGTTAAACAGCAATAAGTTCACAGAAGCAAAAATCACAACTTTAGGACAGCACAGTGAAGGTTGATATTTTAGAACAAAAAAAAGGCTGAATAAGTCACTAAGAAGCCTTTAATCAATTATTCAGCCTTTCTTTCTTTTAGTTGATTACTCAACACAACCATGACTGAGTAAAACCAAGCTATCTCTCAGGCTCCAACATGAATTATCATTTAATACCTGTGAATCACACTGTTCATCTTCCTTTTTCACGAAGGTATCAATTGAAGTCCTGCACATGTTACCATCAATGTTAAATGCAAAAAGTGCACCACTTTTTTCCAGAAATTTTGTAAGGATCTAAATGGAAAGACTTTTCTGTTATGCTACAGTGAAAAAGTTCTAAAACATATTCCCAGCTAATGAAGGAAAGAAACAAGAGGTACCACCAAACTATAACAACCGAAGCAGTGGCAAAAACAAATAATTATGTGCATATTCTACATTGATCTATGTCTGGACTTTGGTCAATTTACCGTCAATTGGAAGAACACTGCCACATGCTTGCATATATTTATAAAATAGTTTCTACTTGGTTTTTCTAGATGAATGAGATTTTATGTTGGACTAGTTCAGTGACCAAGCAGAATGCACTAGTGGGAGAATGTGCAAACCTTCTGTAAAGAAGGTTGCTCTACTTCTTTACTCTTTAGCTAGCTTTTCAAAGGTTTTATTTTGTCTTCGGCACTTTGCTATTTCCTCTATCGATCAAAAAAAATTCTTCACTAGAGTCTCAACAGCCCACTTCACTCCTGGCTGGTTAATTATTGTGTCTTCCTATACTGGACAAACCAATAATTTTCTAACCTGCCCTTACTTTCCCGATTTAGTCTGACACTTGAGTAATACAAGAAAAAGAACAAAGAGATGCGGTTAAAATTGCAGATCAAGCAAAAGCCACAGCTCGCAGTATTATGCTTTCCTTTTCTTTTTCCGAAACCGAGAACATAACACAACAACACAGCTACAAAAACTTCATCTTTTCTCAATCAAAAGTTTATCTTTTCTCAATTGTATCTCTACTTTTCATTCCACAAATGTTTGTTTTTTTCAAGCTGTGATTTAAAGACTAAAACACAAAGTAAAAGTTCCAACCTTTTTCATAAAATTTCACCTTTTGCATTAGTACATTTCTTTTTTCTTTTTTCATTTACTTTTACTTCCAAAACTGTCAACTAAACACAACTAAACAGGAAAGAAAATCATTGTTTCCGACAATATTTTTCTTTCTCTGTAATTTCAAAAACTGTGAACTAAACACTGTAAACCAGCTACAAAAAAAGTTATCTATTTCTTCAAGGTTGCTTTACATATTGCAAATTCTATGCAAAAAGAAAAGTTAACTAGAAAACAAATAACATCTAGTTGGTATCCGTGGAATTAGTCTAGGTGCACCCAAGCTGGCCCGGACAACACGGTTATAAAAAATAAAAAATAAAAAATAAAAATATTGAACAACATAAAGATTCATCTTTTTTTTTAATCAAAATTTCATTGTTTGCACAACAACAAAAAAAATCTCTTTATTCCCAAAACTGTGAAATAATCACTATAAACCAGCTATACAAAAATTATCTACTTTATCAAATTTGCTATCCAAATAGCAAAATTCTATGCATAAAAATAAGAACTTAACTAAACACAGTAAACCAATAAAACTTTTTCTTTCTCTTTTTAACTTCCAAAACTGTGAAGTATGAACTAAACCAGCTAAAAAAAAATCTTCTATTTGCTTTCAAAATAAGAAAACAAAACTCACTGCAACACATTGGAAGATTCCAGAAGACGCTTGCTGGCTAAAAGTAACTTCAATCGCTGTTTCAACGGAAGCCGTTCAAACTCCTCCTCCGTTTTAACAGCCGCATCCATTGAACAACACAACTCAACCATTTCTCACACAAATTCCATGGCACTATTTGAGAACATGAATATCAAAAATCAAAAAGAAGAAAATAAGAACAAAATTTAATTTTTTTTCTAGGGCTTTGAATGAACAAATGATTTTTTTACATGGATATAACGACAAATACACAGAAGAAATGTGAAAGTGAGAGAAGAAGATCGTACTCGTACCTTTTAGAGGTTCAGAAAGGTGAAGGTGATAGATGATGGATTTTGCTCAGGCTATTTGGCGCGATTTCCTAATTTGGGCTTTGGCGGATCGAGAAGATTTGGGCTGTTGGTCATGGGCCGTCAAAGGGGAAAGTATTGGGAGATTTGCACAAATAGATCATTTTTCAGACCCACTGAATGGGATTTTACTGGGTTGTTGTTGTTGCACAAATAGATCATTTTGAGACGTACTTTAAATTTTGTTCTCGTTTAAGTAATTTGTGTAAAAATAGCCTCGGTATTACATATCTGAAAAAAATGAAAATTTTGCTTTCACTCAAAGAAAAAAGTCGCAATTTCAAAAGTTTTTTTCAATCACGTCGCTTGTTTTCTAGATACATAAGATACAAATATATGCAACAAAAGATTGAGAGCAAAAAGAAGATAGAATAAGGAGTGAAAAACAATAATTCAGGAGATATTATTAATTTTTCACTTGATATAGATTAAAGTTCGAGTTAAATCACATCAGGAAGGAGGAGGAGGAAGGAGGAGGTCTATCATTGGGTCTATATTTGCAGAACTTTTAAATACGAGGATAGAGTTAAACATCGGCCCACAAATAATGTTATTGTAGGGGCAAAGTGTAGAAATAGTCACTTTTAAGCCCGCTATTTAAAATATATTTACAGTTTATAATATATTTAAAGATTAACCAATTCATCCAAACTTTAAGACTAAGTATCCTAAATTTGAAAATTTAGAACTTAGTGTTCTGGATTTTTGAGCTGCTAATTTGAAATTCGGGAATAAGATTCAGGACATAAGATTCGAGCTTCATGACACAATTTTCGAATTTTAGGACGCGATGTCTTTGAATTTTGAGGTTTAAACTCTAGGACATTGTGTTCTAAAATTTTCAAAATTGACTAATCTTTAAATATATTATAAACAACATACTTAAAAGTGGCTACCTAATGTCATTTTCACTTATTGTAGTTATACTGTTATTGTAGGGGCAAAGTGCAGAAATAGCCACCTTTAAGCCCGTTATTTAAAATATATTCACCGTTTATAATGTATTTAAAGATTAACAATTCACCCAAACTTTAAGACTAAGTATCCTAAATTTGAAATTTTTGAACTCAGTGTCCTGGATTTTTGAGCTGCTAATTTGAAATTCGGGAGTAAAATTCAGGACATAAGATTCGAACTTCATGACACAATTTTCGAAATTTAGGACACGATGTCTTTAAATTTTGAGGTTTAAACTCTAGGACGTTGTGTCCTGAAATTTGCAAAATTGACTAACCTTTAAATATTTTATAAACAACATACTTAAAAGTGGCTACCTAATGTCATTTTCACTTATTGTAGTTATATTGTTGCACCAAAAAATTGCACAGACGCCCTATTTGGTCGCCCCCATTTAACCTATACCCATTTTTTTAAAAGTTTTAACTTGTACCCACTTTTTAAATAACTTCAGCCCTCTTTCTCCTCCTCTTTCTCCTCCTTCGTTTTCTTCTTCTTCTTCTTCTTCTTCTTTCTTCTGCTACTATTGGTGCTGCTATGAAACTTCAGTTCATGGGATGATTGCCATAAGTATGTTTATCAGATTATTTAAAACAAATTATAAATAATTACGTAGGTTAGTAGACAATAATTTGTGAATATTTTCACATACGGAAAGTTTAAGGTCACACTTAGTGAATCTTTTCATGATAATTCTATTCTTTTCACGTTTATTTGTTTCCAAAATTTTATGATTTAGATATTGTTGGCAATTTAATTATTTTATAGTAGTCTGATTATAACAAAACTAATGAATCCAGGACAAAAAAAACTTCAGCTTATTTAGTGCTGAAGTTTTTTCAAATGAACTAAATAACTTCAGCATTTTCTGCTGAATTTTTTGAACAAGCTTTATGATAAAACTAATGAATGCAGGACAAAAAAACATCAGCTTATTTAGTGCTGAAGTTTTTACAAATGAACTAAATAACTTCAGCATCTTCTGCTGAAGTTTTTGAAAAAGCTTATCCAGGACAAAAAAACTTCAGCTTATTTAGTGCTGAGGTTTTTATAAATGGACTAAATAACTTCAGCATCTTCTGCTGAAGTTTTTGAAAAAGCTTAATGACAAAACTAATGAATCCGGGACAAAAAAAACTTCAGCTTATTTAGTGCAATTACAAACAAAAACGTCAGCAAATAGAGAACAAAACTTCAGCTACTATGCTTAAGTTCAGCAATTATAAAACAAAAACTTTACCAAATAGAGTACAAAACTTCAACTACTATGCTTAAGTTCTACAATTACATACAAAAACTTCAGCAAATAGAGAACAAAACTTCAGCTACTATGCTTAAGTGCAACAATTACAAACAAAAACTTCAGCACACTTGGTTCAACACACTTGCTACTTCAGGCCCGTCTACTAGAATGCTGAAGTTTTGCGTGATTGTCTTTGCTACTTCACCCCCGTATGCTGAAGTTACACGAAAAAGTGGGTACGCTAGCATTTTTTTTTTTTGCAAAGCGGACACAAGTTAAAACGTGACCCAAAAATCGGGTATAGATGTAAATGCCCCTAACGGGGTGTTTTGGGCCCTATTTCTTGTGCCATTGGGGAAGAAAGTGTAAGTTCTTTTCCTTCCAACAATATGAAAGTTTGAGTCACTGAAAATAAAAACAAATAATTTATCGAAATGTTATTAGAATTCTCAAAACTATATTGTAACAGTATGATTCCAATAACTTCTATATTGGTGATGACTTGCGCTATTAAGACTCAATAATTGGGATTAGAAATCTATAACTCAACTCCTTACTAAACCCATCAATTGACAATTTGCATTCTCACTTTTACAATCATACAATATAGTCTAATCTCGTAATTAATATCTCTGTGCAAATGCACATATTACCTTATCATGGTCTAAACTAATTATACTCCACATAAATAAGATAAATATATAGAGTATAAATAAAAGAACGATACCTAAAATCGCTACATTTTAATATATAAACCATAATGATTAATGAAGAGTTTAAATTTTAAACTAAGTTGATATCATCTTACCTTACAATCAATTAATTATAGGGCAAATATAGAAGCGGGATGGGGGGGGTGTACTTTAAAGTGAACATAAAATTTTATTATTATAATCAACAACAACAACGACCCAGTATAATTCCACAAGTAGGGTCTGGGGAGGGTAATATGTATGCAAACCTTATCCCCACCCTGAGGGACAGAGAGGTTGTTTCCAGGAGACCCTCGACTCAAGAAAGCAACAAAAGACGATATGTTATTATAATCAAATAGTCTAATAAAAATACTGCTCACCAAAAAAGAAAGTGTTTTGAGATTTTGAAACGGTATATGGAAAAAGAAAACTATATATTCTCTTACTTTTACTTTGTTTCTTCTTTTCTTCATTCGCAATCTAAAATTTATTAAGAGCTACTAGGTATGAAAACAATGAACTAAAAATGAGTAAACAAAATAAAAGCAAATTATTTTAGTTTAAGACAAAATAAGAAGGTAAATATATGTTGCAACTTTATGTCTAAATTGTTACTCCTAGTAATATTTTTTAAATGAGGACTTATCCTATGCAAGACATGTTTTGTATCGGATTTGTCTAAGTTGAAATTTGAGATTGTCACGACCCCAACCCCGGTCGTGATGGCGCCCAACACACTGCTAGGCAAGCCCGACCAATTCAACAACCTTAACCCTTTTTATACAGTTCAGGATTCAATTAACTCAAATAATTACTAAGTCATAATACTGAAACTCTGAAATATAATTTAAACATGCGGAAAACCCAGGTAGTAATCAAATCAATTACCGCCGCGGCGTGCAGCCCGATCCCATACTCAGTCCAAAATCACATAAGCCTCTCGGGCTTAATAATATAAAAATATTCAGCCCGAACTTCATTTAAAAATATTAATTTAGTTTCTACATTGAGAAAAATGGCTGAGTTTACAAAACAGTATTAAATACCAGGACTGAGTTCAATATCTATAATTATGGTAAGGAACCAGTAAAAATAATCCTTAAAGGATTCAAGTAGTTGGCACGAAGCCCAATTATGACAATTAATCCATTTTTATAAGGATATTACTAAGCTACAATCAATTAGGTAGTAATTTTATTAAGCGGGGCGGACCAAGTCACGATCCCCGACGGTGCTCTACCCCACGCCCGTTATCCGGCGTGCAAGTCACCTCAACATAGCACTACATTGTGCAAAATTCGGGGTTTCAAACCCTCAACACAGCATTTACATTTTATTACTAACTCAAGCCGGCCAAAAGTCCTAGCTTGCTATGCCCTTGCCTTTCGAATATAACCTCCTCGTGTAGACCGAATCTAATCAAAACCACACGAATACGTCACAATATGCTAATGGACAATACCCAATCGAAAACAATCAAAAAATAACTGAAATCTCGAAATTAGCAAAACCCGAGCCCCGGGCCCACTTCTCGAAAGTCAGAAAATTTACCATCAACGGATTCCTTATCTCGCCACGAGTCTATACATATAAAGAACACCAAAATCGGAGTCCAAATGACCCCTCAAATTCCCATTTTTGCTCTCTTAAGTTTCAAGCCCTAACCTCCATTCTTAACCCTTGATTCCTTAATTTTTTCAGTCTAAATTCATGTATTTGCACCATACAATCGTGTTCTAAGTCCAAGAATTCATACCTGATCAAAGCTCTCGAAACCCTCTTCAAAATCGCCCAAAAACTCTCCAAGTTCGAAGTGCAATATGTTACTCTTTCAAAAATTCGCGAAGAAGAGTAATTAATTAAACTGTCCAGGCAAAACCGCATCTGCGGTAACAATCCCGCTTCTGCGGCTTCCGCTTTTGCGGTCCAATGTCCGCTTATGCGGACTTCCACTTAAAACCCTGGCCGCATCTGCGGTCATTCAGCCGCATCTGCGGCTCCGCAGGTGCGGCTCCCTATCCGCATATGCGGTCCAACCAACCCTCAACACTTTTCGCTTCTGCGACCTTCTCCTCCGCTTCTGCGTGACCGCACCTGCGTCCCATAACCGCAGGTGCGAAAATACCAGATACCAGCAGACCTTAACCATGCAAAAATTCCGAAACTCTCCGTTTAACCATCCGAACTCAACCCGAGGTCCCCGGGACCTCAACCAAAAATACCAATGCATCCTACAACGTTATTCAAACTTGTTCCAATCATAAAAACACCTCAAACAACACTAAAGCCATCATTGCTCATCGAATTCAAGCATAAGTTCTTTAAA